AAAATCAGCCCCTCTCTAAATCGCCTCTTCGTCAAAAAAGCAACCTTTTCCCCGAAATAAATGCAATTTTAGTTCTTTTTTACTATTATAAGGCAAGTTAACCTGTTTTGAGAGGAAAAATATTTTCAAGAATTTCGCTGATTTTTCTAAGCCTATAGCCTTACTTTTTTATCAAAAATCAGCCCCTCTCTAAATCGCCTCTTCGTCAAAAAAGCAACCTTTTCCCCGAAATAAATGCAATTTTAGTTCTTTATGACTATTATAAGGCAAGTTAACCTGTTTTGAGAGGAAAAATATTTTCAAGAATTTCGATGATTTTTCTAAGCCTTTAGCCTTACTTTTTTATCAAAAATCAGCCCCTCTCTAAATCGCCTCTTCGTCCAAAAAGCAACCATTTCCCCGAAATAAATGCAATTTTTGTTCTTTATGACTATTTTAAGGCAAGTTAACCTGTTTTGAGAGGAAAAATATTTTAAAGAATTTCGCTGATATTTCTAAGCCAATAGCCTTACTTTTTTATCAAAAATCAGCCCCTCTCTAAATCGCCTCTTCGTCCAAAAAGCAACCTTTTCCCCGAAATAAATGCAATTTTTGTTCTTTATGACTATTTTAAGGCAAGTTAACCTTTTTTGAGAGGAAAAATATTTTCAAGAATTTCGCTGATTTTTCAAAGCCTATAGCCTTACTTTTTTATCAAAAATCAGTCCCTCTCTAAATCGCCTCTTTGTCAAAAAAGCAACTTTTTCCCACGAAATAAATGCAATTTTCGTTCTTTATTACTATTATAAGGCAAGTTAACCTGTTTTGAGAGGAAAAATATTTTCAAGAATTTCGCTGATTTTTCTAAGCCTATAGCCTTACTTTTTTATCAAAAATCAGCCCCTCTCTAAATCGCCTCTTCGTCCAAAAAGCAACCTTTTCCCCGAAATAAATGCAATTTTAGTTCTTTATTACTATTATAAGGCAAGTTAACCTGTTTTGAGAGGAAAAATATTTTCAAGAATTTCGATGATTTTTCTAAGCCTATAGCCTTACTTTTTTATCAAAAATCAGCCCCTCTCTAAATCGCCTCTTCGTCAAAAAAGCAACCTTTTCCCCGAAATAAATGCAATTTTAGTTCTTTATTACTATTATAAGGCAAGTTAACCTGTTTTGAGAGGAAAAATATTTTCAAGAATTTCGCTGATTTTTCTAAGCCTATAGCCTTACTTTTTTATCAAAAATCAGCCCCTCTCTAAATCGCCTCTTCGTCCAAAAAGCAACCTTTTCCCCGAAATAAATGCAATTTTTGTTCTTTATGACTATTATAAGGCAAGTTAACCTGTTTTGAGAGGAAAAATATTTTCAAGAATTTCGCTGATTTTTCTAAGCCTATAGCCTTACTTTTTTATCAAAAATCAGCCTCTCTCTAAATCGCTTTTTCGTCAAAAAAGCACCCTTTTCCCCGAAATAAATGCAATTTTAGTTCTTTATTACTATTATAAGGCAAGTTAACCTGTTTTGAGAGGAAAAATATTTTCAAGAATTTCGATGATTTTTCTAAGCCTATAGCCTTACTTTTTTATCAAAAATCAGCCCCTCTCTAAATCGCCTCTTCGTCCAAAAAGCAACCTTTTCCCCGAAATAAACGCAATTTTAGTTCTTTATGACTATTATAAGGCAAGTAAACCTGTTTTAAGAGGAAAAATATTTTCAAGAATTTCGCTGATTTTTCCAAGCCTATAGCCTTACTTTTTTATCAAAAATCAGCCCCTCTCTAAATCGCCTCTTCGTCCAAAAAGCAACCTTTTCCCCGAAATAAATGCAATTTTAGTTCTTTATTACTATTATAAGGCAAGTTAACCTGTTTTAAGAGGAAAAATATTTTCAAGAATTTCGCTGATTTTTCTAAGCCTATAGCCTTACTTTTTTATCAAAAATCAGCCCCTCTCTAAATCGCCTCTTCGTCCAAAAAGCAACCTTTTCCCCGAAATAAATGCAATTTTAGTTCTTTATTACTATTATAAGGCAAGTTAACCTGTTTTGAGAGGAAAAATATTTTCAAGAATTTCGATGATTTTTCAAAATCTATAGCCTTACTTTTTTATCAAAAATCAGTCCCTCTCTAAATCGCCTCTTCGTCAAAAAAGCAACCTTTTCCCCGAAATAAATGCAATTTTAGTTCTTTATTACTATTATAAGGCAAGTTAACCTGTTTTGAGAGGAAAAATATTTTCAAGAATTTCGCTGATTTTTCTAAGCCTATAGCCTTACTTTTTTATCAAAAATCAGCCCCTCTCTAAATCGCCTCTTCGTCCAAAAAGCAACCTTTTCCCCGAAATAAATGCAATTTTAGTTCTTTATTACTATTATAAGGCAAGTTAACCTGTTTTGAGAGGAAAAATATTTTCAAGAATTTCGATGATTTTTCTAAGCCTATAGCCTTACTTTTTTATCAAAAATCAGCCCCTCTCTAAATCGCCTCTTCGTCAAAAAAGCATCCTTTTCCCCGAAATAAATGCAATTTTAGTTCTTTATTACTATTATAAGGCAAGTTAACCTGTTTTGAGAGGAAAATTATTTTCAAGAATTTCGCTGATTTTTCTAAGCCTATAGCCTTACTTTTTTATCAAAAATCAGCCCCTCTCTAAATCGACTCTTCGTCCAAAAAGCAACCTTTTCCCCGAAATAAATGCAATTTTAGTTCTTTATTACTATTATAAGGCAAGTTAACTTGTTTTGAGAGCAAAAATATTTTCAAGAATTTTGCTGATTTTTCTAAGCCTATAGCTTTACTTTTTTTATCAAAAATCAGCCCCTCTCTAAATCGTCTCTTCGTCCAAAAAGCAACCTTTTCCCCCGAAATAAATGCAATTTTAGTTCCTTATTACTATTATAAAGCAAGTTAACTTGTTTTGAGAGCAAAAAATTTTTCACAATTTTCAATGATTTTTCTAAGCCTATATAGCCTTACTTTTTGATCAAAAATCACCCCCTCTCTAAAACGCTTCTTCGGCCAAAAAACAACCTTTTCCCCCGAAATAAATGCAATTTTAGTTCCTTATTACTATTGTAAAGCAAGTTAACTTGTTTTGAGAGCAAAAAATTTTTCACAATTTTCAATGATTTTTCTAAGCCTATAGCCTTACTTTTTGATCAAAAATCACCCCCTCTTTAAATCGCGTCTTTGGCCAAAAAACAACCCTTTCCCCGAAATAAATGCAATTTTAGTTCCTTATTACTATTATAAAGCAAGTTAACTTGTTTTGAGAGCAAACAATTTTTCACAATTTTCAATGATTTTTCTAAGCCTATAGCCTTACTTTTTGATAAAAAATCATCCCCTCTCTAAATCGCTTCTTGGGCCAAAAAACAACCTTTTCCCCGAAATAAATGCAATTTTAGTTCCTTATTACTATTATAAAGCAAGTTAACTTGTTTTGAGAGCAAACAATTTTTCACAATTTTCAATGACTTTTCTAAGCCTATAGCCTTACTTTTTGATCAAAAATCACCCCCCTCTAAATCGCTTCTCCGGCCAAAAAAAAGCCTTTTCCCCCGAAATAAATGCAATTTTAGTTCCTTATTACTATTGTAAAGCAAATTTACTTTTTTTGAGAGCAAACAATTTTTCACATTTTTCAATGATTTTTCTAAGCCTATAGCCTTACTTTTTGATCAAAAATCACCCCCTCTCTAAATCGCTTCTTCGGCCAAAAAGCAACCTTTTCCCCCGAAATAAATGCAATTTTAGTTCCTTATTACTATTTGTTGTGTATGCGCGCGCGATGCCTAAGATCCGCTGCGACCTAACACTAGACCTAGAGAGCACACGAGACAAGACGCCATGTTTTCACTCCGACCCTGATCTAATCTCCTCTATCAACTCCAATCCGAGGCTAATATAAAATGGTTTATGCCTAATACATTACATTCTCCCTTTTCTTGAAATTGTCCTCTAGGGTTTCTATATGAGTTTTGTAAACGTAACCAAACAAACAATTAATATAAACAATGTTCTTCAGCTTTAGTCCTTCAGCGTAGATGATTGTTCTTCAGTGTCAGCAAAAGTATCTGTGATATTCATCCATCAACAAAACAAATATATAATTTTCAAAGTTCCAGCTTCTTGATTATAATGAACATAACTAGTAGAACTCCAATGTGTTGCTCAATCAACTTGTGCAAAGTCAATCAATATAAATATATACAACCTCCTGTCTGTCCTTTTTATTCAGTTTTTCTTCTTACGACTCCTTCTTTTTGGAAATTTCTTCACTTGTACTTGTTCTTGAATGGCTGTTGGAACAGAATCTGGTACAAAAACTGGTGTTCTGTTGCCAATATCTTCTTGTATGTCTTCATTGCTTTGTTTATTCCAATGATCCTCAACAATTCCTTCCTTAAACCTATTTTCACTATTTTGATGCATGTCAGCATTATCACTTTCATGCAAACTAGAATTATTGTTTTCATTTAAGTGTGGAGTGTTATTGGCGTCATTAGCATTAGTGATTGCTCTATTCGGTCTGCGCTCGGAACGCGTTGGCCTTGCGACATTTTGCGCATTGTCAATTAAGAGTTCCTCTGCTAAGATGTCTTCCTCTTCATCTGTGTTGTGTGTGTTTCCTTTTGAGGTACTGCTTGTCTGTTTGATTCACTCTCATTGTATTTCTTGAGATGATCTTTGTTCCTGTAAAATTTGTTTCCTCTTTCATTCTCTAGTAAAGCACTTTTCCTGTAGATCTTGATGACTTTGAATTTCTCATTTAACCAATTTGGAGATAATTTGTCATTTTTCCAGAGATTCTTTACTAGCACTGTGTCTTGTTCCTGAATTTCACTGTCTTTTGCATTCCTTTTGATGTCTGTGTAATTTTTCATTTTTCCTTTCTTTTCTCTGTCTTTCCTATCTAATTCTGTGTCTTGTGATTCATCCTTTGCATATTCTGGTATGTCATTCTTGATACCACGTCCAAAAAATACTGTAGCTGGGCACTGTCCTGTTGTTGCATGTGGGGTTGTTCTGTAGAGAAGTAGAAACTTGTTCAGCTCTTCTCTCCAATCTTTTCCTTCTGCGTGTGCACATTGATTTGCCTTTTTGAGTGATCTGTTGAATCTTTCAACTTCACCGTTGACCCATGGTGAATACGGTGTCACATTCCTTAGCTTTATCCCATGTTGTTTGAGGTACTGTTTGAGTTCGTCTGAAATGAACTGTTTTCCATTGTCAGCAACTAATTTGTGCACGTAACCAAACATAGAAAATATCTTATCTAATGCTTTGATTACCGTCTTTGTGTTGATATTTTTGACTTGTGCAACTACTGGGTATCTTGATCTGTAGTCTATGAGTGCTATTAAGTAATCCTTTGTTGGATATGGTCCTTGAATGTCCAAAGCTACTGTGTGCCAATTTGTTGAGGGTATCTTTGTTACCTCAAGTGGTTCAAAATTGACTTTATTGGATCCTGTTACTTGACATGCATGGCAATGTTTTATCAAGTTTTCCACTTCTTGATCTATTCCTGGCCACCATACTTTTTCTCTAAGTAATCCTTTAGTTTTCACAATGCCTAAGTGATGTTGGTGTGCTGTGGCAAGTATTCTTTGTCTTAGATCTGTGGGAATTATTAGCTTTGTGCCTTTTAAAATAATATCATCTTTGATCCAGAGGTCTTTCCGGTTCAGAAAATATGGTTTGTATTGTGGACTTTTTGACCATTTCTCTGATTTGATCTGTTCTTTGATGTTTTTCAATATTTCATCATTTCTTGACATTTCTTGAATTTCCTCTATTGTGACTGATTTAGGAATAGCATCATAAACAATTGAGTTGATGAAATGTTCTGTATCATCACTTAACTTTTCTCCTGTAGCTGGTAAAGGTGAACGAGATAGTACATCAGATGCATTTGTGTGTCCTGGTTCAAATTGAACAGTGAACTTGTATGGTTGCATTTTTAGTAACCATCTTTGCAATCTTGGTGTAGGGCTTCCTCTTGCTGATAATAGTTTTTCAAGTGGTTTGTGGTCAGTTACTATTGTAAATTCTCTGTCATACAAATAGTAATGAAACTTCTGTGTTGACCAAAATGCGGCTAAGCCTTCTCTTTCTGTCTGAGAATATCTTTGTTCTGTTGGGCTTAATGCATGTGATGCATAAGCAACTGGCTTGAATTGTCCATCTTGTTGTTTTTGAGTAAGGATTGCTCCTAGTCCTACTGGTGAAGCATCTACAATAACTTTTGTGTCTGCATGAGGCTGGTAATAAGCCATTGTGCTTGCATTTGTAAGGCTTTCCTTTAACTTTGTGAAACTTGCTTGTTGTTCCTTGTTCCATGCAAATGTAGTGTCCTTTCTGGTGAGTTTCCTCAGAGGTTCCGTAAGTGTAGCATAGTCTTTGATAAAGTGTGAACAAAAGTTGACTAGACCTAGGAAACTTCTTACTTCTGTTGCATTTGTTGGGACTTTGGCATTGTTGACTGCATCCACTTTGGATTTATCTGGATGAATTCCTTTGTCTGTTAGACAATATCCTGCAAATGTGAGCTTTGTTGTTCCAAATACACATTTCTTTGGATTGATCTTTAAGTTTCTGGCATGCAATGCTTTGAATAGCGTGTCAAGACGCTCTGCCATTTCATCTCTACTCGATGACCATATCAGAATGTCATCTGATATTGACCTTGTGCCTGGGCAACCTGCAATGCTTTGCTCAATAGCCTTCTGAAACTGTTCAAAGGCTGAACTGACTCCATACACAAGACGTTTTGATTGAAAACAACCTTCATGTGTTAGGAATGTTGTTATGTGCCTTGATTCCTCTGCTAACTCTAGTTGGTGATACCCTTCTTTTAAATCTATCTTTGAAAAGTATTTTGCATTATGCAACTCTGGGAGGATTTCTTCAACTTTTGGAATCTGGTGTCTTTCTTTTACTATGGCTTCATTGGCTCTTCTCATATCTAAACATAATCTTATGGTTACATTTGGCTTTGGTACTACTACTATTGGGTTTATCCAGGTACTTGGGCCTTTAACTTTCTCTATGCAGTCATTTCTCAACAATCTTTCTAGTTCTGTAGAAACTTTCTTTCTTGTATGATATGGTAATTTCTGATTGGCTGCTGAACGGGAATGACATTTTCATCAATATGTAGTTTTAACTTGTAGTCTTTGAATTTACCCATGCCTTCAAATACTTCTCTGTTGTTGTCCAGAACTTTCTGAATCTTAGGATCTATTCTGTGTTCAGTTGGCTTTTCTTGACTGATTTCATTTACTGATTTGTGAAGTGAATTTGTTGGATCTGCTTTAGAACCTAGAACTGGGCCTACTCTTAAAATATCAAGCTTTTCTGCTGTCTTTTGTCCTAGCAATGCTCCACCTGAACCTTTTGTGACATAGAATTTTGCTTGGGTTTCTTTCCCAAATGCTTCAGCTTTTGCTCTGAATGTTCCTTTTAGTTTCAATGGTTCTTTGCCTAGATAAGTGAATATCTTAGTCTTGCTGCTTTCAAGTTGTGGTTTTTTTGGCAATTTCTGAAATGATATCTCATCAATGATGTTCAATGTTGATCCACTGTCAATGAGCATATTTATTGGTGTGCCATCTATATAGACTGGATATACTGGTCTTTCCTTGCTTCGAATTTTGAATACTGATGTTTCATCATCACTTGAACTTTCTGTTGTGACTTCACTTGCTCTCACTTGATGATTTTCTGGTTTCTTTGGATTTTTGGTCTTGCAGCATTTTGCAAAGTGTCCCATAATTCCACATTTCATGCACTTTCTTCCTTTTGTCACTCTACAGTCTTTACTGTTGTGATTCTTCATTCCACATCTTCCACATTGTTCCCTTTGTTGAGTGTATTTTTGATTTCTGTTTGCTTGCCTACCTTTGTGCTGGTATTTATTTGGCCTTATTTTATTCAGGTCTGAGAAAGATTCTTTCATTGTGTCAGCTGATGAGCCTGCACCATTTTGTTGTTCTATCTTCTTTGTCTGAAGGTCTGATTGTTCCATGAGCTTTCCTATTGTTAGAACTTTATCTAATGTGAGATCTGGCTCTTGTAGCAATCTTTTTCTAAGCTTACTTGATTTGCATTTTGCTATTACTTGATCTCTTATCTCATCTTGTGTTGCATCACCATATTCACAATGAATGATTAACTTTTTCAACCTAGTGACATATGAATCTATGTTCTCTCCTGTTTCTTGACCTGTTTCATGAAATACACATCTTTCAAATGGAATATTCTTCTTGATATCAAAATGACTA